AACTCGACTGCATGCGATAAGAACTCCATTTTATTTTTGATCTGCTGGGAAATGATATGCCAACTTCACAGGCATCATCAGAAATTCGGAATGCCTGTGAAGTTGGCATATCATTTCCCAGCAGATCAAAAATAAAATGGAGTTCTTATCGCATGCAGTCGAGTTCTGTAGTTCTTGATACTTTTTAATAATAGTTCTGTTGATTTAAACCAAAAAACAGTCGATCGAAAAAATGATCTGCTAACTTCCCGTAGCAGATCATTTTCTAGCAGGTCAAAAATAAAAGAGAGTTCTTATCGCATGCAGTCGAGTTCTGTAGTTCCTGATACTTTTTAATAATAGTTCTGGCGATTTAAACCAAAAAACAGTCGATTGGAAAAAAAGATGTATTTATCATAACACTAAGACGCTGACGGATTTTCGATAGTTCTACGGGTTCTAAACTATTTCTCGTGTAGTTCTGAACACATTTATTCATTTTTCAAAGAATTTTAGGCAGTGGCAAGTCTCTGTTACTTTTTAATAATGCATAATCCCCGAAAAACTCATTTTTAAGCAGATAAGTGTGCTCTGCTGCTCGGAAAGTTGGAGTTCCGGTCCTTCTAAAATATTTTTCGTATAGTTTTGAATATATTTATTCATTTTCAAAAGAGTTTTAGACAGTGGCAAGTCTCCGTCACTTTGTACTTTGTACCGTTACTGCTTAGAAATGGATTTTTCGGGGATTATGAATTTATTAAAAGTAACGGAGACTTGCCACTGCCTAGAACTCTTCGGAAAATGAATATATATATATATATATATATATATTCAGAGCTATACGAAAAATATATAAGAAGAACCGGAACTATAACTTGCCGACCAGCAGAGCACACTTGTCTGCTTAGAAAGGTGTTCTTCGGGGATTATGAATTTTTGAAAAAGTAACGGAGACTCGCCACTGCCTAGAACTCTTCGGAAAATGAATATATATATTCAGAGCTATACGAGAAATATTTTAGAAGAACCGGAACTCCGACTTTGCAATCAGGAGAGCACACTTATCTGCTTAGAAGGGTGTTCTTCGGGGATTATGATTTATTAAAAAGTAACAGAGACTTGCCACTGCCTAAAATTCTTTGAAGAATGAATAAATGTGTTCAGAACTACACGAGAAATAGTTTAGAACTCGTAGAACTATCGAAAATCCGTCAGCGTCTTAGTGTTATGATAAATACATCTTTTTTTCTATCGGCTGTTTTTTTGTTTAAATCGCCAGAACTCGCGCGTAAACGTGTAGCCCGCGTATACCTCAACAAGGAAATATTTTGAGAATTATGTGACAAAGTCTGGATAAAACTTGGAACGCTGGAATTATGCGCGTACATATGTCGAATAACATATGCAGAAACGGAGAAACTTTCATCAAATTTTCATAAATATTTGCGCACGTATCACACACACACACACGGATACGTCACATACACAGGTACACGTGAACGAAGGTACCTTAAATTCGTGCACACGGATTAACGTGTACCCGCGAATCTTGAAAACGCGTATCCAATCGAGGGCTCTAAAATAAGCGCGCACTTAAATTCACACGTCCGTTGGAAAAGACAATCGACGAATTCGCGGCTCTCCTCTACGGTAGACGGCCATTCCACGGCCATTCTCTTTCCGCATCGCCAAGTGCACACTACAAGAAACGAAGAAGACGTCAACGACAGGATCACGCACGTAATTCCGTGCCGTTCGTACCGCAATTCGAAGGACAACGCGACGCACGTTCGACTATGGCGCGGCTCGCCGCTCGTCGGGCTCGAGCCGCCGCGCGCCGGCGCGCCGCAGTGACGTCACTGCTCGAGCTAGAGCTACTAGATAAAGGGGAGCTGACTCGTCCGCCATCTTGGAGCCCAAACGTTTGACTTTAACAAATGCATTTCGGCACAAGATATGAATTT